AAATGATGACAGCATTTTCATTTTTGGGTGAACTATCCCTTTAATACAAGGAATGATGCTCTAAAACCCTAAATATTTGTAAATGACCTAAAGACTCCCAATTAAGTGTGATATAAAAAGATTCTTCCTTTCATTGTTTTTGGAGCAGAATGTCTGGCCTGTACCACACTATCAGTCAGATCACCGATGAGCTCAGCACAGATGAATGCAAGCGGATCTCTTACCTGTGCGGCGCTCTTGATATGGACAAGTTCTCTACAGATCCCAGAGGCATGTTACAATCTGTACTGTGCCAAACGAGGATGGATTACGTGTTTCTCATGGAGCTCATTCTGAAAATAAAACGCTATGATCTGCTGCGACAAGTGCTGAGCACCAACAAGAGCACGGTTGAGGGACTGCTAAAAAATGGCCATTCTGTGTCAGAATACAGGTAATGCTCTCTGATCCCCTCTGTGAATCTCCATTTGTGCACCATATGGGGCTCAGGAGAATGTTTTAACCTGGACTTTGTGTTTTCAGAGTACTGATGGCTGACGTTAGTGAGGACATGGGCACAGAAGACCTGAAGTCATTGAAATTCTTACTGAGAGGAACTTTACCAAAACATAAACTGGAAAATGCCCAGGTACAACGTCCTGGAAGCTGTTTTCTTCATGTGTGGAACTGAAATGTTTCTTGTGTGGAACTGAAATGATTCTTTAAAAACATATATTTACACAGAGTTTTTTAGACATTGCCGTAGAGTTGGAGAAACTCGACCAGCTCTCCAGTGAGAAGATGGATTTGATCGAACAGTGCCTGAGGTCCATCCATAGGGCTGATCTAGCGAAAAAGATCAGTCACTACCAGCAGACAGGTAAGAACTGCCAGCTTTATGCTGTTATTGATGTTTTTGTAGATGCAACCATATAATACACTAAGTATTAGGCCTGTTGTCTCATTAAGAGGAGTTTAGGCTACAGTATATCACTAACATGATACAATCTAAGAAGAAGAAAAAAGTTACAAATGCTGTCTTTGTACCATATTTAGCCCTAAAGGGTGCATTTTAGTACCTTAAAGGCACATATCTGTACGTAAAGTGTACCTATTAGTACCTAAATGCTACATATTAGTACCTTTTGAAAAGGTACTGCCCCAGTGAGTTTTTGCTTCTTCTTTTTTTTTCCATTTTATGATGATGCAATATGACATGTGACATCTGAACAGTATTGATTCAGTTCCTCTTTCCTACATCTTCTTATTGGTTGTTTTTTTCTGTTGCGTCATCATAAGAAATGCACTTTGTGGTATTTTTATGGGAAACTGAATCAGCCAGTTTGATAGGTTTCCTTTTTGAATAACTGAAAACCGCTTTTGCAGCGCTAATGACCAAACAAGGATCTTCGCCTCCAGACAGACGTCAGTTCTGCAGAATGCCATTGGTGAGATTTCATTTGGTTGCTTTGTCTTAGCTTGAACTTAAAATGTTTAATTTTTTAATAATCTTTTCTTCACTCTCACTGTTTGTGTCATTCGCAGCCAAATAGCTCATTTGGTGTCTCAACAGCTTCTTGTAATGTGAGGCCGATTTCCAAATTCTGTGGTGAGTTCATTCAAAAACGGACAGTACGAGGAAATACTCTACCAGGCAAAAGTTTGGGCAAACCTCTCATTGTCTCTCTCTATATTTATATTCATTGTCTCCCCTCACAATTGCCAGTATTACTAAAGTCATCAAAACTAGAAATGGCACAAATGTAGGTATGGGAATTATGAAGTGACCAGAAATCTTAAAAGTCAGCACACTTTGTCACAGATTCACACAGTTTATCGTCACTACACTGTAGAAAAGAAAATATATTTTTTTTTTGAGAAAGTTACAAATGCAGGCCAACATGATGCATTCAGTGCTAATGACCAAACAAGGATCTTTGCCTCCAGACAGACGTCAGTTCTGCAGAATGCCATTGGTGAGATTTCATTTGGTTGCTTTGTCTTAGCTTGAACTTAAAAATATTTCATTTTTTAATAATCTTTTCTTCACTCTCACTGTTTGTGTCATTCGCAGCCAAGTAGCTCATTTGGTGTCTCAACAGCTTCTTGTAATGTGAGGCCGATTTCCAAATTCTGTGGTGAGTTCATTCAAAAACGGACAGTACGAGGAAATACTCTACCAGGCAAAAGTTTGGGCAAACCTCTCATTGTCTCTCTCTATATTTATATGCATTGTCTCCCCTCACAATACTTGCCAGTATTACTAAAGTCATCAAAACTAGAAATGGCACAAATGTAGGTATGGGAATTATGAAGTGACCAGAAATCTTAAAAGTCAGCACACTTTGTCACAGATTCACACAGTTTATCGTCACTACACTGTAGAAAAGAAAATATTTATTTTTTTTGAGAAAGTTACAAATGCAGGCCAACATGATGCATTCAGATTTTCAGAAAGTTTTCTGAAGTGTCCTAAGTAACACTACTATGTTTTGTCAGTTTGGATTTTCATTCACTAAATGTTAAATGCACTCATTTGGCCAATGCATTTGTGAAGATAAACTGCAGGTTCTGGGATGAAACAAACCACAAGCATTTTTCTGAAATCCTTTGTTCAGACAATTGTGTTTGACTAGTTGTAAAAAAAAAAAACTTAGGGGATTTCTATTGTTCTAACATGGATTTTTATGTACTTACAGGTAACTTGAGTTTCTTATTATTTGTGATCAAACTGAAAAAAATGTCCTAAATATATACAGTGGGGCAAGTATTTAGTCAGCCACCAATTGTGCAAGTTCTCCCATTTAAAA